AGGCAGTAATGATACGTTTAAGGTGTTTGAGTACACAAAAAAGTTCAACAGTGACAGTGTTGGGGGTTTGTACAAATACATCGTGGCTTTTTGGGTATAGAATTAGATGTATTTCTGACATATACAGTTGGAATGTGTTTGAAGTATACAGTAACATTTTTAACTGACATACATGTAACCAGTGAACACACAAGTTTTCAAGAGTCAGTGCCCTCTTGAGAGCTATCGTTGCTAGTGTGGATCCTCCATCAAGGAATGCCAAGAGTTTCCCACTACCTGAACATAACTGCACTGAAACTTGTCTTCCCCCTACTTCCTGATTTGTAGCCAGGTAGCCAGAAAACTCTGTCACACTACACATTTTCTTCACATTATTCCTTTGAAGAAAATGCTCACATAATTCAAGCATCATCACATTTGAAGTCTACTGTTGCAGTCCATGCTGACCAGCTACAAGGTAAAGAAGAGCAGTATGCTGAGGATGAAGGATAATGCAGAAGAAATGATTGCTGGATTTCAGGGTTATAATAAGTTTAAGAAGAAGGAGTTCAGGAAGGGAATAGGAAGGTCTACTTTAGACCTTAACCTGTGACTCCAGGTGAAAAGAAAATGGTACCAGGGCCTTGCTTTAAAACACACTAGATTTTTCAGTTGTGTAACTGGCTTGAACACTCCTAAAATCTATGAGATCTGCCCAAATTAAAATGGTATTCATGACTTGTAAACAAAGCTACTGATTAAACTTGCAGACCTGAATAGAATTTCAGTTGCAGAATGACAGATGAATTTATTGTATGTTATCTCTGATACAGGGCAGTGTCTTGGGTTGGATTTAGGAGTCTGTACTTAGTAGCCACTCAGTAAATATTTGAATAAATGGAGGGAAGGTAGAAAGGGAGGGAGGGAGGAAGAAAAGAAGTAAACTGGATATGGAGTTACTTAGTAAACTTTGTAAGGATTTTGTGATAATTAATTTATACCACTAGCTGAAAGCCCCTTTTCCTACATATAAGAAAAGGTTTGATGAAGAAACTAGTAGAAGAAAAAGTATTTTTAATCTGTTAAGAGAACTAATCATTATCAGCCCTTAAAGCAGTGAAGAAGCACTTATTTACATAAATTAATGTACTGATTACAAATCAGTCTCATCTTTGTAAAAGCAGTCCCAAAAGTTTAGAAAATATTCCAATAGGTATAATTCATGGCCACATACAGAAAATACTTGAAACTTATAACATTTTAAAATACTATGATATTTTGTACTTTTTATTAATGTATATTTTGTTCATCCCTAAAGTTAATATAAGATACTCTTATAAGACAACATGAAATAGGAGAAAAGAATTCCAGGGGTTCTTTAACTTGGTTTTATTAGAAGTACCTGGGGAGTTAC